ATATACCATGTTCATGGACTGGAAGAATATTAAGATGTCCATACTACCCAAAGCTATCTATAGATTCAATGCAATGTCCATCAAGACACCAATAGCATTTTTCACAGAACTACAACAAATACTAAAATCTGTATGAAACCACAGAACACCCCAAAGAGCCAAAGCAATCTTGAGAAGGAAGAACATAGCAGTTGGTAGCACAATCCCAGATTTCAAGATAAACTACCAAGTTGTAGTTATCCACTTTGGTACAATAAGGTACTGGCATAAAAATAGACATAGATCAATGGAACAGGATAGAGAGCTCAGAAATAAACCCACACCTACGTGGTCAATTACTCTACAACAAAGGAGGCAAGAATATACAATGGAGAAAAGACAGTCTTCTCAATAAATGGTATTGGGAAAACTGGACAGCTACATGAAAAGAATACAACTGGACCATTTTCTTACATCATACACAAAAATAAACTCAAGATGGATTAAAGGCCTAAATGTGAGACCTGAAACCATAAACTCCTACAAGAAAACATAGGAAGTAATCACTTTTATATCAGCCTAAGTGACATTCTTCTAGATATGTCTCCTCAGGCAAGGAAAACCAAAGTAAAAATAAATTATTAGGACTACACTGAAATAAAGAGTTTTTGCACAGTGAAGGAAATCATCAACAAAATGAAAAGGCAACCTACTGAATGAGAGAAGATATTTACAAACGATAGTTCTGATAAGGGGTTAATATCCAAAATATATAAAGAACTTTTACAACTCAACACCAAACTGCCTTCCCAGCCAATAATCCAATTAAAAATAGGCAGAGGACCTGAACGGATATTGACATACAGATGGCCAACGGGTGCATGAAAAGATGCTCAACATCATTAATCATCGGGGAAATACAAACCAAAACCATAAGATATCACCTCACACTTGTCAGAATGGCTAGAATCAAAAAGATAATAACAAGTGTTGGCAAAGATACAGAGAAAAAGGAACCCTTGTACACTGTTGGTGGAAATGTAAATTGTTGCAGCCACTGTGGAAAACAGTATGGACGTTCCTCAAAAAATTAAAAAATACTATATGATCCAGTAATTTCACTATGGGCACTTACCCAAAGAAAACAGCAACACTAATTCAGAAAGTATGCACCCCTGTGTTTATTGCAGTATTTACAATAGCCAAGACATGGAAGCAACCAAGTGTCCATCAATGGGATGAATGGATAAAGAAGATGTGGTGTATATATATGTGTGTGTGTGTGTGTGTGTGTATGTATGTATATATATGTGTATATATGTGTGTATATATATGTATATATATATACACACAATGGAATGCTATTACTAAGCCATAAAAAAGAATGAGTTCTTGCCATTCACAACATGGATGGACCTAGAGGGTGTTATGCTAAGTGAAATAAGTCAGAGAAAGACAAATGCCAAAATACCTTACCACTTACATGTGGAAACCAAAAAAAAAAAAAAAAAAAACCACACACACACAGAAACAGACTCAAATACAGAGAACAAACTGGTGGTTGCTGGTGGGGGGCGGAGGGAAATAGGTGAAATAGGTAAAGGAAATTATTAAAAGATACAAACTTTCAGCTATAAAATAAATAAGCCACATAGACGAAAAGTACCACATAGAGAATATAGTCAATAATATTAATAATGTATGGTCACAGATACTACACTTATTGTGGTGAGCACTACGTAACGTATACTGAAACTAATAGAACACTGTATGTCAACTATATTTCAAAAAAAAAAAAAATTCATTCACTCACTCATTCTTCCATTTCAACTAACACTTTAGAGCCTACTGTTGGCCTATGCTAGGCTCTGGGAATAATACAAATAATCCCTGCCCTAGCAGAGCTTAGAGTCTTTTGCAGGATGACAGACTTATTAACTAGGAAGAAATGACAAGACAGGATGATCGAAGAGACATAGGAAGTGAAGGAAAAGGTAAATCAAGGATAATATTGGATTTCTGCTTTGGGCTTTTAAGTAGATGGTGGAGCCATTTGAGGAGATGGAGAATATTAAAGGTGGAGTAGAGTCAGTTGGGGATAGATGATGATTTTCATTTTGCACATTGATTCATTCAAAAGACATTTATTAACTGAAGAAGGGCAGGTCATCTATGAGACATGTTCAGTAGGACCCTGAATATAGAGGACAGGAAATGAAGACCTTAGCAAAGAATGCCATGATTACCTCTTCTACCATAATACATATACAAATGCTTATTTCAAAAGTGAATACCTATCCTTTTTCAACAATAAGAATTTCCTTAGTATCTACTATGTGAACATAGTGAACGAAACAGACTAAGTCTGTCCTCTCTAAGTTTATATCCCAGCAATGCATGCCCTAAATCTACAGGGCCACACACGTCCTCAGCATGCCTGCTACGGCTGTTTTCTGCCCCAGGCTGCACCCTCACTGCTCCCTCAGGTCATGTCATGCTTCCAGGAGGTGAAGGATTACAACCGGACATGCTGCTCCAGAAAGGAAGTGCTGCTGATCTTAAGGACAGAAATAAGGACACCTCAATTCTGATTCCTAGATCCTTTTCTTAGTCTTTATGTCCTGGGGATGGATACTGTGCTTAATATCAGGCATAACATGACACAATACCAACCTTCTACAAGGCTTAAACACATACATAGACATATTGCTCACAGGTAAAAGCTGTCTGAAAGTTTTATTAGATAATATTAAAAACCTTCCCCATATTTTGATTCTTACATAAGCATGGAGATGAAGTCTCAAACTATTTCTGGAATTTTAAGAAAATCTTAAAATTATGGAATTAACATTCTATAAAGGGACTTCGAAGGCTGTAAATGAACATGTCTTCTATGTCTTAAATCCTCTCAGACTCCCAGAGCCTGGAAATGTGTTCAATTTTGATCTGATGGAAAAATACTAGGGTATTTGGGGCTCTTCTAATAATCACAGAAACACAGACTTGAAGAACTAATGCCACAGAGACTAAGGTTAAAGGATAGAAGTATAAAAAGGAAAACAATGTAAAACATGGGGCTACCAGGGCCTTTCAGTGTTGGAGGTGAAGTCTCATAGGGCCTACCTGTAAGGATAAAAGGTGTTGGATTAGGAGTGACAGGGAGAAGGTCACCTTTTTGGGACTGGAAGAGGAAAGATTTGGGAAAGGGAGCCACAAGCTATGCTCTCTGCAGTGGAGGGAAAGCCGATCCCTAGTTCTTGAGAAGTACTGCACAGAGAATGTCTTACACAGTCATTGCCATGTGGCAGGCTGGAATCAATAGGTTCTCAAGGAGTCCACACCTTAGCATCTTAAAAGGAGTAAACGTTCTGAGCTAGGACCTGTGGCCCCAGAAACAATGAGATGGCACAACTCCAGCTGCAGGGTGGGGACAACTCCTCTGCCTTACAGAGAAGTAATCCTAGCACAAAGCACAGAAAGTAGTCAGGGTCACAGTACCACATCGCTGGCTTGGGCAATGCACAGATGGTATATACAGGTGGGAAGGTAGAGCTATGGGATTTGAGCTAAGGGAGTGTGAACAGCAGTAATAGTGAGAAAATATCTTTCTCTGGCTTCTTACTCCAAGGCCCAGTGGTTTAGTCTCCCAGGTAGGAGGCCCTGCCCACAGGTTTTCATCTATGGTTTTCATGACCCTTAGGTGTGGCATGGGTCTTCAAATGGACCAGAACCAGGGTACAGATACTTTTTGAGGGACAAGGGTCCATAAAAGGCTGGTAGTTTCCCACCCAGACTGTGAGTAGTAGAGGGTAAGGGCAGAAAAGATCAGAAAAGTATAGTACAAATTGGTTTAGTCACACTCCTACAAAAACACCTACATTAGATAATGTATATAAAGCACTTCACTCAGAGCTTGGTTCTTAGTAAGTGCTCAACAAATATCAAATTGTATTACACACTTACAGAGATATATTCATGTATAAATATGTACACATTCCTCTACCACTCTGGCCAACAGTCTGGATAGTCACTCTGCTTTCTGGACCAAAAGAAGGTCAAGGCTCCTGGGCGCAGATAGGCAAGGTTCAGCTTCATAAATGTCATTTCAGCAGCATTGTAGACATTGTAGAAAAAGCCAAGCCAAGGAGCTGCAATCTGAGGATGTTCACTCTTGCCTTATCTAGCCAAAGACGCACAAGGCTGGAGCCAAGGAGCCAAGGAAAGGATACCAGGCACTAGCACCATCAAGAGGGCAAACAGAAGAGGCCATGGCGGAGCAGCAGTTTCCTGGGGCAAAGACTCCACAGTGAGCCCAGGGCCACAGGAGGGACCTTTTAGCACTTGGGATTTTGCCACTCACCTCCCAGCTCTTCCTCCATCCTTGTCAGAAGGCCTAGCGGAGACTGAATCCCTCTTTGTTCTCAATCTCACATTCTGGCTTTTCCTCCCTGGCCTCCCCACATCCATATTTTCTTTCTTTTTGCCCACTTTCATCAACCTTCTGAAGCTACCTTTTCAGATCCTCAGCGAGCCCTGTAGCAGGAGGGCTGTCTCCCCTGTGGGGCATCCTAAAAGGCCAGTGTGACTCCTGACACCCATTTTACATGTCTAATCTTGTTCTGGCATAGTCAACACAAAATACAAATGCCTGATCTGATTATACTTGCCCTCTTCTTTTTGTCTCAAGCAGATTTAAAAAGGCATAATTTTAAGTAAAACCAGATTATTAGACAGCTATGAAATCATCTTCATTAGAACCTGGTTATTTCACCCCACAGAACTGCTCATGAACCTCTCCTCACAATAATGTGCACAACACTGAACAAAAACTCTTGAAAGCTGAGACTCTTGAAAGCATATGGTATGAAAATGGATGCTTAGTGAGAAATAATATGTAAATGACAAATAAGTTGATAATTATATAAAATGAAAGTAAGTGGTCCAGAAATCAAGGAAAAGCAAAATTCTGAATGGATTCTCTAAATGGGCAATAGTCTGAGTCCTGGTGTGTGAAAACCTACCTCTCACCATTAGGTCCCACTCTGTTGATTAATTTTTCCATAGCTTCCTCTGTCTCCTTCAGTTTTTCTTGCAGTTGAACAAGCTCAAAATTGGCTGAAAAACAAACATCAATCTAAGAACCATCATACACAACTCCAAAAGCTCTTGTCCAAAACTGGCTGGCTGTGACACCCTACAATCATCCCAGCTGGTTCAGAGATTCAGAGAAGAGACTCCGCGTCTCTCCAGCTGGTCCAATCAGGACACGAGGGGTACCAAGGTGTGGGCACTGAGATCTAAAGGATACATGTTTAGGGAGTAATGCACAAATCACTCCTCCTACACACAGAAATACAGCAGGACCAGCTAAAGAAAAATACCCAGGAGCAAAAAAACAAAACAAACCTCAACACAGTCACCCAAGAAGAAATGAAGAAGATAAACCTATCCTTTCTAGTCCCAGTGATGCTTGAGGGTCAAAGTACTAAGCCTGCAAGGTACTTTAGAAAAGGAGTTAAGACCCTGAAATGAGCAATAGTTCACCTGCACCCGAAGTTTGAAAACATATCTGGAAGATCATGATTTCAATGCTATGCTTCTTCAATAGAGGAAGTCTTGAATGAGGGCTGAAGCCTCCCTGCCCAAGGTTTCCTACCCTCATCATTTGGGGTGAAGTGGTACAACCCTGGCCCCCAGTATTCTCAACAAAGGTCAACAGAGATCACATCGATCTACTGACATTAACACTAAGACCCTAAAAAGTAGAGCAGAAAAAATAGATCAATTAGTACAAGAAATCAACTTTAAGGCAGCAGGAAAACAAAATGCTCTTCATTACGCAGATAATCCAGTTTTTCTGTTTCATACATGAGTACCCTTCTACCCAGATATATTTAGAAGGCCACTGTAAGATACAGTATTTCAAAGGCCTTTTAATACTTCTGGAACAAATTCTTATGCATGCAGCTAACATCTGCAAAGTGTCTAGAGGACTGTGCCACATAAATGCTTATTTTTATTTTCTGCATGATTCAAAACTGAAGGATAAGAAGCAGATATAACTGCTACATTATAAAACAGCTGATCCTAGGAATTCATTTTATTTACTTCTGTTTTCAATGCATTATGTGACTGGATACAGAATCTGTTATTTTTCGACAGAGTCCAAACATTTTTTAAATTATTTTACCGATGCATTTACCATCACTGTTGGTTAGATGTTATCTCAATTAAGAACACAAGAGCTTTATTAAAGGATTTCTTGAATATCTAAGATTTCTAAAAAGGATGCAGACTGTGAGTGGGGTATCAACTTCCACAGAAAATCTGGAGTAAACCCAAAAAGCAGTTATGGCCAAGGGCAGATGCTGCGGCAACTCAGCCTCACTCCATTTTGCTGCTGTCTCTCTTTTAAAAACTTCTGATGAGGCTTCATTATCCACAGGATAAGGCAGTTTGGCCTCCAAGGCCTTCAACAACATGGCTTAACCTACCTACTCCTCAAGGCCTTCTTTCCCACAGCCGTCCTATGTCAGGCTGTGTCTTCCTCAAGCCATCCCGTCCATCGGACAGGACCCAGCTCCATGTCGTTTCCCATAAGGCTTTCCCCAAGTCCCCTTCTAAACAGTAAACTTGGCACAAGTTATTTTTCATCCCAGAGTATGAATTATTAGGGGGAAGAGCCATGCCATATACATCTCATTTCCCCAGAGAGCACAGAATATTCTACTTGGTCAATAAATATTTGATGACCATGTTTCATGAGTCAGAAGTGTTAAACCCTGTCCCTAGATCTAATAACTGATTTTGGCAAGGACTTGATCTCTCTTTCTTAGTTTTCCTCTCTATGGAATAAAGGTATCTGCTACAAATATTCTGAGGTCTGGAAATGAGAAATAACCCACTCCAAATGTGAAATATTAACTTGCTAATATATAAAAAAGTAAATGGACAGTTTTGTACTTTTTGTAACTCTCTTTCTCTTAAAAGCCCAACATCAATTTGGAAACTTGAGAATTCCCAGAGCTTAGGTAAAAATGGCATCAGATTAACTTGGGGCAATTTTTCAGAAATGCTTTTTAAGACCTACCCACAGACTGTCCCTCTGACTGTATTAGGGCGGTCTGACTCAATAAAACTTGTGCATATACTGAGAAGGGGCACTTACTAATTTTCCTGTGGGTGTTTCCAGCTGCGGCAGTAGAGCATTTCCGATCCTCTGTAGTAGTTTTCCCCTTTGAAAGCTGAGAATTGAAGGAGGTACAGCACATCAACAGCAGCTCAGAACCTCAAAGTCATGGAAAACCTCATATTAAATGAAAAAAGAAAAAAGGTTGGGAGACAAAAATTAAGTCAGAAATCAAATCAAATATTAGTATCAGAGAAACATTTCAAAAAAAAAAAGGAGAGAAAGAACCAATAGAAGGTTCCCAAGAGAGGCACCTGTGTGGCTCGCTGAGTTAAGCATCTGCCTTCAGCTCAGGTCATGATCTCAGGGTCCTGGGATCGAGCCCAGCGTCAGGCTCCCTGCTCAGCGGGGAGTCTCCTTCTCCCTCTCCTCCTGCTTTCTCTCTCCCTCTCTCTTTCAAATAAATAAAATCTTAAAAAAAAAGGTTCCCAAGAAGTGAAAAAACCATCAAGGCACAAGGCCAGGTCATCTGCCTTACCCACACTTATCTCAAAGGGGATGTGCAGCCCCCAGAGGTGTTCTTACAGAGGCAACTCAGCACCCCCGCAGAGTTTCTGGGCAAGAAGGACTTGCTTCTTACTCTGGTTAGAAGGGCACAGTGAATATTTAAGATTTCCAAAAAAGGCTGCAGAACGTGACTTCTGCTCCACTTCACGGTGTCTAGGCCTATAGCTTGATGAAGCCTGCCTAGAGGTGGAACTTAATTGGGAGTCTGCTTTTAAAGGACCCAAACCACATCTCCCCAGAGCAGGGAGACATCAGGCTTACTTCCAGGATTGGCAGTTTTGTTTCAGAATTACTGCAGTGGATGTTAAACCAGCACCTCATACTCCTGGAGGGGGAAAGGAGGGCAAAGTGGTGTTGGTATGGTCATTATTGGGCCTCACAGTGGCTACTTGGAAATCACTGTGCCAATCCTAATAATAAAGTTCTCCTTAAAATATCTTTAGGCCTTTTCAGCTTGCAAAGACATCCAGTCAAAAAAAACAAAAACAAAAACAAAACAACTGGGGTGGGAGGAGGCTTTCTTTGACCTTTATTGCTCACTGCATTAGCAACTAGAAGACCGAGGCTCAAGTCCTGATTCTGCATTTCTAGTTGTGAATTCTAGGTCAAAACCCTTTAAGCTCTGAGCTAAGATCTTCTCTCCTGTAAAACCAAGATAACAGTTATCCTAAGTATCTCATAAAGAGGAGGCAAGATTTAAAGATGATTTGAATAAAGGTTATGAACTGTAAAGAGTTTTAATGCCAACAATGATTTTTATTATGACACTAGATTTTATTGATATGATCAAGATGATTCCACTTACCTTAAATAGAATATACAGTATATATAAAAAAATCCCAAAACCATAGATTGGAATAATCTGTCCCATCAGGCCTCTTCCACGACCTCCTCCTCCAGTGCCTCCACCTGATCCTTTGGCCTTTGCAAATGCCTCTGCAAGGTGAGACCTCTGGAAACGAGCCCCAGGGGTCTGGCCATCTGAGGGTGGCTGGTGATGATGCATCATGGGTGGAAATCGACCCAACTTTCCTGAGAAAATAATTAGTATTTATTTATTATTATTTTTTTAGCAGTTTATATCTCATGGTTTTTTATATTCTCAATACTGATTCTTTTTTTTTTGTAGTTTTTAATTTTATTATATTATGTTAGTCACCATACAATACATCATTAGTTTTTGATGTAGTGATCCACGATCCATTGTTTTCGTATAACACCCAGTGCTCCATGCAGTACGTGCCCTCCTTAATACCCATCACCGGGCTAACCAATCCCCCCTCCCCCCTCCCCTCTAGAACCCTGTTTGTTTCTCAGGTCCATAGTCTCTCATGGTTCATCTCTCCCTCCAATCCCCCCCGCATTTTTCCCTTCCTTCTCCTAATGTCCTCCATGTTATTCCTTATGTTCCACAAATAAGTGAAACCATATAATTGACTTTCTCTGCTTGACTTATTTCGCTTAGCATAATCTCCTCCAGTCCCATCCAGTTTGATGTAAAAGTTGGATATTCATCTTTTCTGATGGCTGAGTAATATTCCATTGTATATATGGAGCACATCTTCTTTATCCATTCATCTGTTGAAAGGCATCTCGGCTCTTTCCACAGTTTGGCTATTGCGGACATTGCTGCTATGAACATTGGGGTGCATATGGCCCTTCTTTTCACTACATCTGTGTCTTTGGGGTAAATATCCAGGAGTGCAATTGCTGGGTCATAGGGTAGCTCTATTTTTAAATTTTTGAGGAACCTCCACACTGTTTTCCAAAGTGGCTATACCAACTTGCATTCCCACCAACAGTGTAAGAGGGTTCCCCTTTCTCCACAACCTCTCCAACATTTGTTGTTTCTTTCCCTGTCCATTTTGGCCATTCTAACTGGTGTAAGGTGGTATCTCAGTGTGGTTTTGATTTGGATTTCCCTGATGGCTAATGATGATGAACATTTTTTCATGTGTCTGTTAGCCATTTGTATGTCTTCTTCAGAGAAGTGTCTGTTCATCTCTTCTGCCCACTTTTTGACTTGATTATTTGTTTTTTGAGTGTTGAGTTTGAGAAGTTCTTTATAGATTTTGGATACCAGCCCTTTATCTGTAGTGTCATTTGCAAATATCTTCTCCCATTCTGTGGGTTGCCTCTTTGTTTTGTTGACTGTTTCCTTTGCTGTGCAGAAGCTTTTTATCTTGATGAAGTCCCAAAAGTTCATTTTTGCTTTTGTTTCACTAGCTTTTGGAGGTGTATCTTGAGAGAAGTTGCTGTGGCCGATGTCAAAGAGGTTACTGCCTATGTTCTCCTCTAGGATTTTGATGGATTCCTGTCTCACATTGAGGTCTTTCATCCACTTTGAGTTTATCTTTGTGAGTGGTGTTAGAGAATGGTCGAGTTTCATTCTTCTGCATGTGGCTGTCCAATTTTCCCAGCACCATTTATTGAAGGGACTGTTTTTCGATTGCATGTTTTTTCCTGCTTTGTCAAAGATTATTTGACCATAGAGTTGAGGGTCCATATCTGGGTTCTCTATTCTGTTCCATTGGTCTGTTTGTCTGTTTTTGTGCCAGTACCATGATGTCTTGGTGATCACTGCTTTGTAATATAGCTTGAAATCAGGCAACGTGATGCCCCCAGCTTTGTTTTTCTTTTTCAACATCTCCTTGGCAATTCGGGGTCTTTTCTGATTCCATACAAATTTTAGGATTGTTTGTTCCAGCACTTTGAAAAATGTCATTGGAATTTTGATCAGGATGGCACTGAAGGTATAGATTGTTAAAATGTCTATGCTACCCAGAGCAATGTTTATTCTTCCGATCCATGAGCATGGAATATTTTTCCATCTTTTTGTGTCTTCCTCAATTTCTTTCATGAGTGTTTTGTATTTCCTAGAGTATAGATCCTTTACCTCTTTGGTTAGGTTTATTCCGAGGTATCTTATGGTTTTTGGTGCTATTGTAAATGGAATCGTTTCTTTAATTTCTCTTTCTACAGTTGCGTTGTTAGTGTATAAGAAAGCAACTGATTTCTGTGCATTGATTTTGTATCCTGCCCCATTACTGAATTGCTGGATGTGTTCTAGTAATTTGGGGGTGGAGTCTTTTGGGTTTTCCACATAAAGTATCATGTCGTCTGCGAAAAGAGAGAGTTTGACTTCTTCTTTGCCAATTTGAATACCTTTTATTTCTTTTTGTTGTCTGATTGCTGTTGCTAGGACTTCTAGTACTATGTTGAGCAACAGTGGTGAGAGTGGGCACCCTTGACGTGTTCCTGATCTTAAGGGAAAGGCTCTCAGCTTTTCCCCACTGAGGATGATATTCGCTGTGGGGTTTTCATAGATGGATTTTATGAGCTTGAGGAATGTTCCCTCTATCCCTATACTCTGGAGAGTTTTAATCAGGAAAGGATGTTGTATTTTGTCAAATGCTTTTTCTGCATCAATTGAGAGGACCATATGGTTCTTCTCCCTCCTCTTATTAATGTGTTCTATCAATTGATTGATTTGCAAATGTTGAACCACCCTTGCATCCCGGGGATAAATCCCACTTGGTCGTGGTGGATGATCCTTTTAATGTATTGTTGGATCCTATTAGCTAGGATTTTGTTGAGGATTTTGGAATCCATATTTATCAGGGATATCGGTCTGAAATTCTCCTTTTTGATGGGGTCTTTGCCTGGTTTGGGGATTAAGGTAATGCTGGCCTCATAGAATGAGTTTGGAAGTTTTCCTTCTGTTTCTATTTTTTGAAACAGCTTCAGTAGAAGAGGTATTATTTCTTCTTTGAATGTTTGGTAGCATTCCCCAGGCAATCCATCAGGCCCTGGACTCTTGTTTTTTGGGAGGTTTTTGATCACTGCTTCAATCTCGTTACTGGTTATTGGCCTATTCAGGTTGTCAATTTTTTCCTGTTTCAGTTTTGGCAGCTTATAGGTTTCCAGGAAGGCCTCCATTTCATCCAGATTGCTCAGTTTATTGGCATATAGTTGTTTTGTTTTGTTTTTTAAGATTTTATTTATTTGACAGAGAGAGACACAGCGAGAGAGGGAACACAAGCAGGGGGAGGGGGAGAGGGAGAAGCAGGCTTCCCGCGGAGCAGGGAGCCCGATGCGGGGCTCGATCCCAGGACCCCTGAGATCATGACCTGAGCCGAAGGCAGACGCTTAACGACTGAGCCACCCAGGCGCCCTGGCATATAGTTGTTGATAATAATTTCTAATAATTGTTTCTATTTCCTTGGTGTTAGTCGTGATCTCTCCCCTTTCATAATTTTATTAATTTGGGTCCTTTCTTCTTTTGGATAAATCTGGCCAGTGGTTTATCAATCTTATTAATTCTTTCAAAGAACCAACTTCTAGTTTCGTTGATCTGATCTACTGTGTTTCTGGTTTCTAATTCATTGATTTCTGCTCTAATTTTAATTATTTCTCTTCTAATGCGTGGCTTAGGCGTCGTTTGTTGCTTTTTCTCTAGTTCTTTAAGGTCTAGAGTTAGTTGGTGAATTCGGGATTTTTCTATTTTTTTGAGTGAGGCTTGGATGGCTATGTATTTCCCCCTTAGGACCGCCTTTGCAGTATCCCATAAGTTTTGGACCAATGTGTTTTCGTTCTCATTGATTTCCATGAATTGTTTAAGTTCTTCTTTGATTTCTTGGTTGACCCAAACATTCTTGAGCAGAGTGGTCTTTAGCTTCCAAGTGTTTGAATTTCTGCCAAATTTTTTCTTGTGATTGAGTTCCAGTTTTAGAGCATTGTGGTCTGAGAATATGCAGGGAATAATCTCAATCTTTTGGTATCAGTTGAGACCTGATTTGTGACCCAGTATATGGTCTATTCTGGAGAAAGTTCCATGTGCGCTCAAGAAGAATGAGTATTCTGTTGTTTTAGGGTGGAATGTTCTGTAAATATCTATGAGGTCCATCTGGTCCAATGTATCATTCAAAGCTCTTGTTTCCTTGTTGATTTTCTGCTTAGATGATCTGTCCATTGCTGAGAGTGGAGTATTGAGGTCTCCTACAATTAACGTATTGTTATCAATATGACTCTTTATTTTGGTTAAGAGTTGGCTTATGTAGATGGCTGCTCCCATGTTGGGGGCATAGATATTTACAACTGTTAGATCTTCTTGTTGGATAGACCCTTTAAGAATGATATAGTGTCCTTCTGTGTCTCTTATTACAGACTTCAGTTTAAAATCTAATTTGTCTGATACAAGAATTTCTACCCCAGCTTTCTTTTGAGGTCCGCTGGCATGGAAGATGGATCTCCATCCCTTCACTTTCAGTCTGGATGTATCTTTAGGTTCAAAATGAGTCTCTTGTAGACAGCATATGGATGGGCCCTGTCTTTTTATCCGATCTGCAACCCTGTGCCATTTTATGGGAGCATTTAGACCATTCACGTTGAGAGTGATTATTGAAAGATATGAATTAATTGTCATCATGTTGCCTGTGAAGACGTTGTTTTTATAGATTGTCTCTGTAAATTTCTGTTCTATATCACTCTTGGGGTCATTCTCTTTTTATAGAACCCCCCTTAATATTTCTTGCAGGGCCGGCTTAGTGGTCACATATTCTTTCAGTTTCTGCCGGTCTTGGAAGCTCTGCATCTCTCCATCCATTCTAAATGACAGCCTTGCCGATAAAGTATTCTTGGCTGCGTGTTCTTCTCGTTTAGTACCCTGAATATGTCTTGCCAGCCTTTCTGGCTTGCCAGGTCTCTGTGGATAGGTCTGACGTTATTCTGATGTTCCTTCCTCTGTACGTAAGGAATCTCTTCCCCCTAACTGCCCTTAAGATGGTTTCCTT